AGAACCCTCCCTCCCCCCCCCCCCCATTCAACCTCGGGGCTTATTGGACATGAATTTCTTCAAATATTATAATTCGCTAAGATGTAGAAAATAAGCCCCCCTTTTTTTTGTAAAATTTTGTTTGCTGCGAAATTTGTAACTAAGGATCGAGGTCATCTTGGATTTGGTACTTAGCATCATATATTATGCTAGCTCTCCTTACGTAGCGCCTAGGCTAGCTTACGTTCAAGATCGTAACTTTATGTAGAGGTTACGTACGTAGCCGCTATACGCTCTTGAATGCACCTATGATTTATGAAATTCATGACCACTGGGTTAGTAGTTCTAGTGTTAGGGCAGGGCTCTTTTGAACATGTAGGGAAATTTTTACTCCGCTTTGAGAGAAGTTTTCTTTTGATTATTCACCTATGATGATTAACAGGGTATCGGTATTTTACTCCGTTGACCGCTAAGGCCAGTTGGGCCTCTTGTTTTTACAGCAGCCATTGTTGGCATGATTTTTATATGCAATGGGCACTGTGTAAAAACAGCTAAATTCATGATCCCTGGGTTCAGACTCTAAGGCGAGACTGAAGTTGGTATTATATTGAAATGCATTATATCTCACAGAATCTTTTTTCGTTACTTATGGAATCTAACACCAAACTGTTTGCATGATAATAATAAACAATCAGCCCTCTATAAAAGTTCTGAAATTCATGGCCCTTGGTTTAGGGTTCAGACTAAAGGGTTGAAGTTTTTTTTAAGTTGGTTACATGTTATATACATGCATTAAAATTGCATGCATGGTATATCTTTTAAAAATACTCAACATTTTACCAAAATTGCGAAATTCATACTCCCTGGGTCCATGGTTCAGGTCCTAAGGTGGGATAAGTTTGTCTATATTTAAAATACTTTACATCTTTAAAAATCATTCTTCTCTACCCATGGGCATTTTTGGTGTGCGTTAATGTTCCCAAGTATTTACAATTTCTCAAATACCAATTTAATATTCATTTTGAAAGCTGTCTCCTGTGCATATACATGTATGTTCCCATGTACAAATATTTATAATTACCAAAATATTATTTGTCGAAGAATTTAAAGCTGTTGGTCGACATTAGAGAATATGCCTGGAAATGACACTCTGATCACTGGCATTGCTGAAATCTTACTGATATAAGAGAGAACTACATTTGTTTTGCCTGGGAAGCTCTGTATGGGTATAAAGGACGTCACGCTCTTCAACTTCCTCCTGTCAATATTTCTTTAGACGGCGAGTAACAAACTGGACAGGAAAATGGCGAACAAAAGGACGTTTTGTCATCCAAATTTATTGAAATATTGCCAGCGCTATTTTCGCTTTTAAAAGAAACCTTCCTCGCCGATTTGGAAATCCTGCGATTAAAAAAGTAGCACCCTTTTTCAGTTGCCGCAATCGGTAAACAACAAGATGACTAGTGAGGAGATTTGCACAGACGAAAATAATCGTTGGAGCTGATCTCGGTTAGTTGATTAACTGTTATTGCTGCTCTACAAAACAAAATACGTATCAGGTTTGTTACTAGCTGCAGAACTGTAGCGTTATGGTTTTATATTTTAGTCTTTTGACCATGAATGCTACAAATTCCGTAATGCAAATATTGTGCAATTTATGGCGCAAGATTTTCTGCGCACTTTGGGGATGTATTTCGCCACTTTCCAGCATTGGTCAATCAACGATCTTTCATTCCCTAATTTAAGACATATTCTTTAACCAACCTGTATATTTTATCCACCTCCTAACCCTTTCTGGTCGTCTCTACAGACCAATAAACTCGCTTGTTCTGAATTTGTTTTCGGATGGCATAAAATTCTCAACAAGCGAGTTTATTGGCCTGTAGAGATGACTATAAAGGTTCAGGAGGTGGATAAAATATACAGGTTGGTTATAGAATATGTCTAGAATTAAGAAATGAAAGGTAGTTGATTAACCAATGCTGAAAAGTGGCGAAATACATCCCCAAAATGCGCAGAAAATCTTGCGCCGTAAATTGCACAATATTTGCATTACGAGATCTGTAGCGTTATGGTCAAAAGACTAAAATATAAAACCATAACGCTACAGTTCTGCAGCTAGTTTGTTACTGATTATCCAAAGAAATCAGTCCGATTGTTCTTCAGTACTAATATGTAATAGTATTTACTGCAGAAAAATATACTCTTTGAATAATTATGTAAAAGATCGTCGGAAAGCAGAGTTCTAGTGGTTTAGACAAGATTATTTCTTTATATAAACCAGGTTTCCATGCTGTCTGGTATGTATGTTTACCCAAGCTCTGGTTTTGGTGGACACGTACAAAATTTTAAAAACAAAAAATATCACTAGCATGTGGTCGTTTTAGCACGAGAGCACGTGTATAGAGATGTTCTTGGCTTTGATTGACTGATACAAAATTTCTCAGTAACATACCTGTACTAGTATCTTGACACAAATACTTTGAAATTTATAAATAGGTGTACAAGTATTACGAGATGATACATAAAATAAAATTCTTGAAAAACTCGCAAGCACATATTCTGAAATATAATAGGCTAACATTATACAATATGGCTTTAACTTTCTTAGTTTTCAACAAAACAAAACAGAATTCAGAGTGTAAATGTAGTTAAATATAATGTCCCAATATTACGGAATCATCAAAAATAAATACGAGGACAAGCATCCAAGTGGTCTGAATTCTGATTGTTCCATCGATATTTCGATCACTGTACCCTTCGAAGCTTTCGGTGAAATTTTCTTTAATTCGGGACTTCAAAATATAGCTCTTTATTATGAAATAATACAAGACAAAAATGTATGATATTTTCTTGTGACCTGCGCACGCATCTGATTGGCTAAATAGTATTTAGTAAATACTCATAAATTATAGCTGTATTTGTTATCCGAAAAAATACATTGGAAAATTAAGGTCAGACGACACGTTCCTCAATAATATATAATTTTCCCCAAGAATTTGTCATTGAAGTATTGCTACTTTAACAAGTTTCTTCACAAAAATTGAGGTACCTTACCAGGCATTTGTGGAAGATACAATAGGTGGTGTTTCCAATATAATCCTTTTGGTATCGGTAATCTTTTGAATTGCCAATACATGTATTACAATTTTTGATGTACTTATTTTTTAAGGCATTTTAAAAACAATTTAGAAATCACAAGAGAATGGCAATTATGAATAATTTTTGATATATTACGAAGAGATACAGAACAGATATTTGAGAAATGTGTCGTTAGACATTAAGTGTAGGTAAGAAACTTGTAAGGAATGGGACACAAAAGGGAGTAGGGGAGCCATTTTGGAAATATCCGTATGTCTCCGTTACAATTCGCACTCTTAATGGAAGACAATCTACAGGTACTTTTTAAGCATTTTAATTAAAACAGCTTTCTATATTCTTTCGTTGTGTAAGGCAATGTTACTTACAGAGTAGTTTACGATGCAATATCAATGGCAAGTAAATATTTCTGGGGAAAACACACACACACACACCCTCACACACACACACACACTCTGATCCTCTTCAAAAGTGATGACATAACTTATATACATGTATTAGTAATTCTCACACATCAGTTGGCTTACATTCTATTTTGTTGTGAGTTATTAAGTGCAGGCAAATTCGACGCCATGTCACCCATAGACATTTTACAAAGTGATGTAAGCTCTACATTCTGTTGCTTTTAAACATTTCAATGTAATTTTAACCAAGACAAAATCCACGAGATATTCTAGAATCAGCACACTCTACCGAGTGTTGCAGATTACAGTAAGGCACATACTTAAGCAAATGACATAAAAGTCGTCTTCCCAACATTCCTCGTTCGTTGGACGATAGGAAAAAATCAAATCTAATCTGTGGCAATTTTACTCCAATTTCGATCGTGGGTCGATAGCATGGAAAACTAGAAAGGATTTGAGGGATTTTGTGATGATTGTCTTGATCGACATTGTTAGGAGAATTATAAACCATTCCGTATTGCTACAGAAAACATTATTATGGCTTTTTTCCGAAAGACGGATAATTTATCAAGAAGCCACGGATTGCAATTGTTGGACATATAAAAAACGTACGTATTTATTTCATATGAATTCTCAATTCTAATGAGCATCAGTACCGTATGATATACTCCATTTTTATTATTTTCTATTTTAAATATGTATTCGGGTGTTTAGGAATTAAAACGGTGTATTAAATGACGTAAGTAAAATATTTGAAAGGACAATTTTGGACATAAGCAAGAGTCAGGAAAATTATAATAATTACCCCAATTCCATTGAAAGGAGAAGACATTAATACTGGGTCTTTAAAATAACCACCTTTCTAATAATTTTCGATAATGATAATTTATAAATCAAATATTGCAACGCTAAATAATTAAACTGCATTTAAATATCAATCTCCCTTGCAGAGTTGTCGTTCGTTCCTCTCTCAGACACCTCTGTAATGGGCTCAGGTCAGTGTAAAAAAAATGATATTCCAAGGATTATTTCAAGTTCAACTAAGAGTTCTAGATATACTTAGTAAATGTCTACCTTAAAAGACAAACATAAGTGCAGACATTAAATAAACGCACTATTTCTCGTGCTTATCACTATAATATACGCGAGCCAAAGACAGAGGTGAATATATGAGTCGATGGGGGGGGGGGGGATTTCGCAATCCGTATTGAACATCTATTAAAATAGGACATCACCATCGTATTCCAAAAAGATGAATTGGGTATGCATAAAATCATGCAAAGAAGAATTGCAGAAAAGCGATTTCTGAATCTGATCTACGAACATCACCAATCGTATTCCAAAATGTAATTTTGCTACTTCATGTAATTCAAGAGGAATTCAAGAGGAACCAGGTTTTCCAAGAAAATGTCGTTTAACAACCAAAATTGGACAAAAGGTGAAAAGGAAAATTCTGAAACCTGAATTTTTTTTAATTTTTATATTTTTCAAAGACGATAAAATGCATGTTATCATAAATGCATGTCATAAAATGCACCCTTATCGACAAACATCAACTTTGTTTCTCCTTTACTCAGTGTATGGTGGTGGTGCATCCAAGTACCCAGGGGGATTAGGCATTCCACCTACAATAATAGATAAATAGTACTGGTTAACAACCGTCAGGTTCTTGATACATATATATATATATATATATATATATATATATATATATATATATATATATATATATATATATATATATATATCAGAATTTTTTTTTTTTAAAGTATGTTCTGAATACTTTACCAGTTTGTGGACTATATCCACTCTCCGCTGGCGGAGCTGATGGACAGATTCCATTATTCGCTGTTTGGTATCCTCCTTGCTGCTCATGAACACCAGCAGTTTGAGAATGTGTCAAATTAGGCGCGTGCTGTCGTGGATCATGAATTAAGAAAGGTAACCTCATCAATCGTTCGTTGCATTCTTTGACCAAACTTGGCATTCGACACAAATCCACAGTCCATCCAATCCCAAATATCCCAAAAGACATGAAGTACAAAAACCCCCACAAGTACCGACGTAAATAGAAATGATGAAATCCTAGGATTCCAAATGGAAACCAAAGAACATAAGCATCGTCTAAATGCACTTTTGATGGTGTTGGAGCTGAACCTCGATTTCGAAGATTCTCATTCGCACGATTTACGAGAATAGGGAGTCGTATTAGATCTACCAACCACCCGAATCCCATCAGTCCAAAGGTAAAGAAATAAGCAACACCAAAGAAATACCGACCCAAATAAAAATGGTGTGCTCCTAGAATTCCTGGTAGCGGTAAAATGTTTAAAACGTAGGCCATTAATAGGGAAAACTCCTCGAATTTGTCCATTCCATTCCTGTGTTTTTCATTAGTTTTCTGAACAACCGAGTAAAGACGACAACTGTCTATTAACCACCCTATTCCAAAGAGACCAAAGGTGAAGAAATAGAGAAATCCCAAGCTCTTGTTACGCAGATAAAAATGATGGAAGCCTGAAGATAAAAGACAGGAATCATTATTTACGAGTTATACAATATTATTATATAGTTATACGATATTAAAATTCAAGGACACTCATACGTTTATTCAAGATTTTTTTTTTTTTTTTTTTTTGCAACAGGAAATCTTACCTAACAAGCCAAAGACAAACCACAGAAGGTACGCGTCATCCAGACGTTTGTCTTCAGTTGCAGGTGATTGTGGATTTTGTAAGCGTTTGTTTGCATCATTTACCAGACATGGTAATCTGAACAAGTCCACTAGGACACCCACTCCCAGAAGTCCAAATGTGAAGAAATAGAGGATCCCGAATCCTGGTCTGCGTAGGTAAAAGTGGTGGAATCCCAAAAGTCCGAATGGAATGGCTAATATATAAGCTTCCAGGATTGATTTTGGAGAAACACGGGGGCCCTGGTTTGGATAGGACAACGGCGGATATGACGTCAGAACATTTTGTGGTGTTGATTCCACACTTTCATATCCTATTCCAGTGTATTGATTTGCTCCCTTGTGTTCTTTTGTTGACATCTTTCATGAGTTGACAAAAAAGCATTAATGCGAGAGAGAGAGAGAGAGAGAGAAAGAATGTAAGTTTTTGGCAGTTGCTTCTTTCATTACTTACTTTAGATTTTACTTTTCCTGTACAAATCTCACAACATAACATCAGCCTTTTAAGGAAGTAAATATTAACCAGTTTACATCACATGTCGCTTTTACAAAAGCTTATCGCCACATAACATTTAACTAAAAGGTCAGGCCATGTGTGACGTGTCTATATTGAGATTACTATAGATAGTAAGTTATTTTTGAGACTGCGTTAAAACTTCATATTTCTGGAAAACAGTTATATCGGAACATCTAATACATGTATTTATACTTTAGGTAAAGAGGACTCGACAATTTCTTATTAAAACGAATTTTCTTTTAATAAAAAACGGACAATTTTTATTTATGAATTATACCGGTATAAAAAAAAACAAAGGAAGTTATACATGTGTATACATGTATATCCCTCCTCAAAATTATATCAGTTAATAACACATACATGTATGTATGAGTGAAATACTGGAACCTTCGAATTCAGAATTTTACATGCCTCCGAACATCATCTTATTTAAAGGTTTATAATTTCTTTTTAGAAATTAATTGCTGTTCTGAGACGAACAAACAGTTCTTTGTTCAGGATTACTTTTCGTGTCATCTACAGAGCAGAGCGACAATATGAATTAGGGATCACTTTACCCGGCGTCTGTCTGTCTATCCGTACGTCTGTCAGATTTTATATCTTGAGAACTGTAAGAGGTATGAATTTGATATTTTGCACATATATTGCTTGGCATAATGGTTTTTGTAAAATACTATGATTACTGACCTTGCGACCTTTTAAGTTGACCGTTGACCTACTTTTCAAAACAGTTCATTATACCGATATATAGCATAATTTTTTGACATTTAAAGGGGCCTGAACACAGTTGTATTACCATTTTTGTTTACAATTTCAAATTTCTATTATTCAAAAATCATCTTCAATTTTATGGATTGAACTTACATGCACATTCTTAAAATCCAATGACAACGACATTCTTCTTAATGTTAGGTCAAACATCTGTGTTTGTACATATGGGCACGAGCTCTGTTAATTTTAATGTTTACGTTTTACGGAGTGTGTTCAATTTGCTAGCTCAGCATACTTCATTCAATACAAACTGACAATGCTGATGTGTTTGTTTTTCTTTCAAACATATCCACTCTTTTTTCTAGATTATAGTTTTGATATTTTTCATTTATACACAACATATTTCCAATTTTCTTCAATATTAAGCATAGATTATGCGTTGTGAAAGTGCAAAGATGTATGTCAATAAAACGCATCCTGAAATTCGTAGTTTTAAAGAAATTCAAATAGGAGAAGTATTTTCAAAAATGCACTTTTATAATATATAGGTTTGAAATGCTTTAGAAACATGTAAGTCATGATATTATACCAAAAATTTTAGAAGAAATTGCCTTCAAATCTCTGTAAGAGGCAAGTCTATGCTGTTTAGCGTGTGGACTGTTTGTCATAAGACGTTATGAAATATATCAGCGTTACAGTCCACTTGATCTTGACTATTGACCTACTTTAAAAAAAAACAAAAACAAAATCTCTGGGCGGTTTGATTTCACTTATGAATTTTGAGAGGCAGGGGTTTGATAATAAGCATTTATACACGTTTTCTGAGCTCATGACACTGTACATTGAAACTATATGGTGTACAGTTTGCTCTGAAACTGATATTTTTACATCAGTAGTACCATGAAAATATAACTGGGATCGGTATAGCAAAATGGATCGTGTAGACTGACATGCAGTCACTCGGAGCTCCCCGGGTGGCTCTTGCCTCGCACACTAACCTCGGACGTGGATCCGGTCCACAATTAAAAGGTGAAGGTCAACAGGCTGAAATGTATTTTTGGATATGAATATTGATCTGACACATTGCTCTATCATTTGGTCAAAAATATTTTAGAAATAAAGCTTTTTAAAAAAAAGTTACAAACAAATAAAACACATGTTTTTACTATATAAGTCTATATGTAAGCTAATTACACGTAAACGTTGTCGGTGACAACTTGAATAAAATAATATCATTAGTTTAATGTTTAAAAAAGGGAGTATATACGAATTACTGGGATAAATTTTGCAACTAGACTCAAAATAAGTGTTTACAAATTAAAATATTCTTGAATTTCCTGAACGGAATATATGGTTTTATCTATTTGAAAAAAAAAAAACATTTTTCAAGGAAGGAAAGATTAATTGTCATTTAGAGGGAAATTTATCAAAGCTACGAAAATCAGCAAAAAGCATTCATCTTCGGGACGGAATCCATGTGATACATAATTTATATGTGCGTTTGTTTTGGGTAAGTGTGGGTTTTTTTACTTACTATCCCCCTCTCCCTTTAATAGAAAAAAGTATGAGATATGAATGGCGTTTAATTCACTTGAGGCTCATTAGTGAGGTGATCACAGCTTGTCTGTGTGCCTGGGCGTTTAAGTGAATGCATTGCCAGTGTAAAGGTTTTTTTTTATATTTTCATCTTCTCCAGAACTGGCTCTCTAATTTTGACTGACCTTGCCACAAAGCCGATCCAAGTCAAACGAGGGGTGCATATTTTTTTTTTCTAAATGGAAATAATTAAGAAATAGTAAATGTTTAAAATCTCCTCATTTTAAAATGGAGAAAGGAAAAGATTTGTGTTTTGCAGATTCAAATTTTGTTCAAAGAATCTCTAAAGTTTGGTGAAATCCAATGCCGTGTTTATTATGTGACAGTATCTTTACTACTTTGTGAATATAATAATTTTGTGCTTTAATATTTAAATAAAAAATGGGAGAGAATTAACTGTCTTTTACTTTGAATATTATATACATTATACCTAATAGAAATTTTTAAATCAACCCCCCCCCCCCCCCATAAGAGTTAATTAACTTTCGACAAAATTTACTCTAAATCCGGAATTTGATCCAGGAATACTATAAGAATTATACGTAGTGCACTAGCCTTTGGATTCTTCTAATTCGACTGACAAAACTGGGGGTGTAAATTTTTTATACCCCCATTTTTGTCAGTCGAATTAAAGCGATCCAAAGGCCTGTGATGTAGTGTAAAAATTAAGTTGTTTTTGAATGGTACATGTAATACTTAACTTTTTTTTGTAAACACAGATGTAGGGAAAGTGGTTACTTGTGTCAAACCCAATTATTCGTTGAAAATAATTAAAATGTGTTCAAATCAAATTAAAAAGTTTTACTTATGAATATGAACGAATAATTTTGAAAAAAATGTTTGAAAGTCAAGAGGAAGAAGACTACACGTGTATATAATAAGTCATCTTAAAAAAAACAAATTGTAGAACTAATTCTTTTTTTTTAAGTCGTAGCCTAGATTTGGGCAGCAAGTAAGGTTGAAGTTGTACATGAGAGAAACCGGACATATTTCCGTGGCCGTAGGATCCGGGGGGGGGGGGGTGTGCCCCCAATAACTTTGCCGATATACAGAATACTGTAGAAAACATAGCTACAATATGCTTGTGCCCCCTCAATAATAATGTCTGTTGACCTTTTTTTTGGCTTGTCAAGGAATTTTTGGTAGTTGATATCCCCCCCCCCCCATCAACTGAAAATGTATGGATGTGCCACCTCAAAGTGAAATTGCTTCCTACGGACCTGATTTCTTCCGAAAACAATGCTATATATAATATAATAATTTGAAAGGTATCCCTGTAAAGTGTGGATTTAAATAATGTTTAAGTGTGGGCCAGGGGAAAAAACATAGGTTCATTGATGTGCAAATGGATGTTTATTGTAAAATTTCAGAAATCTTTTTTTTTTTCAGAAAATCCTAGGTCTTAATACGTACAACATTCCATGCAAGATCAAGACAATATATAATTATCAACGTATTGAGACAGTATTGCAGTTCACATTAGAGAGAGAGGGAGACGGAGAGAGGGGTTACTAAACAGGGCAAGAATTTTAAAGAAAAAAATGCTGGTTAGTTGGTCAGTAAAAATTGGATTTTATTTCTGTAGACAAATGATGAGGTGACAATTAACTTTAAAAAATATGTGTTTACAAAGCATTGGTACTCAAAAACTCCCTGGCTGTTAGAAGATAACGATTTTTTCTCCAACCCCTGCCTTACCAGGTTAACCCCTGCTTTACTAGGTTAACCCCAGCCTTAGAAGGTTAACCTCAGCCTTATTAGGTTAACCCCAGCCTTAGTAGGTTAACCCCATCCTTACTAGGTTAACCCCAGCCTTACCAAGTTAACCCCAGCCTCACTAGGTTAACCCCAGCCTGATTATGTTACCCCAGCCTTACTAGGTTAACCCTAGCCTTACTAGGTTAACCCCAGCCTTACTAGATTATCCCCAGCCTTCCTATTTTAACCCCAGCCTTACTAGGTTAACCGGCCCTTATTATGTAACCCTAGCCTTATTAGATTAACCTCAGCCTCATTAGGTTAACCCCAGCCTTAGTAGGTTAACCCCATCATAACTAGGTTAACCCCAACCTTATTAGGTTAACCCAAGCCTTACCAGGTTAACCCCAGCCTTATTATGATACCCCAGCCTTAGTAGGTTAACCTCGGTCTTACTAGGTTAACCCCAGCTTTATTAGGCTAACCCCAGATTTATTAGGTTAACCCCAGCCTCCCTATTTTAACCCCAGCCTTATTAGGTTAACCCCAGCCTAACTAGGTTATCCCCAGCCTAACTAGGTTATCCCCAGCCTAACTAGGTTATCCCCAGCCTTCCTATTTTAACCCCAGCCTTATTAGGTTAACCATAGCTATATTATGTTACCCCAGCCTTATTAGGTTATAATTAGCCCCAGCCATATTACATGTATGTTACCCCAGCCTTACTAGGTTAACCTCAGCCTTACTAGGTTAACCCCAGCCTGATTAGGTTAACCCCAGATTTATTAGGTTAACTCCAGCCTTACTAGCTTAACCCCAGCCTTCCTATTGTAACCCCAGCCTTATTAGGTTAACCCCAGCCTTATTAGGTTAACCTCAGCCTCATTAGGTTAACCTCAGCTTCATTAGGTTAACCCCAGCCTTATTAGGTTAACCCCTGTCTTAGAAGGTAAACCCCATCCTTACTAGGTTAACCCCAGCCTTACCAGGTTAACCCCAACCTTACTAGGTTAACACCAGCCTGAATTATGTTACCCCAGCCTTACTAGGTATACCTCGGTCTTACTAGTTTAACCCCAGCCTTATTAGGCTAACCCCAGATTTATTAGGTTAATCACAGCCTCCCTATTTTAACCACAGCCTTATTAGGTTATCCCCAGCCTTACTAGGTTATCCCCAGCCTTACTAGGTTATACCCATGCAGCCTTACTTGGTTATCCCCAATCTTCCAATTAACCCCAGTCTTATTAGGTTAACCCAAGCCTTACTAGGTTAACCCCAGCCTTACTAGGTTATCCCCAGCCTTCCTATATTATCCCCAGCCTTATTTGGTTAACCCCAGCTTTAATATGTTATCCCCAGCCTTCCTATTTTAACCCCAGCCTTATTAGGTTAACCCCAGCCATATTATGTTACCCCAGCCTTATTAGGTTAACCCCAGCCATATTACATGTATGTTACCCTAGCCTTACTAGGTTAACCCCAGCCTTATTAGGTTAACCCCAGATTTATTAGGTTAACTCCAGCCTTACTAAGTTAACCCTAGCCTTCCTATTTTAACCCCAGCCTTATTAGGTTAACCCCAGCCTTACTAGGTTATCCCCAGCCTAACTAGGTTATCCACAACCTTACTAGGTTAACCCCAGCCTTACTAGGTTATCCCCAGCCTTCCTATTTTAACCCCAGCCTTATTAGGTTAACCCGAGCCTTACTAGGTTAACCCCCAGCCTTATTAGGTTAACCTCAACCTCATTAGGTTAACCCCAGCCTTATAAGGTTAACCCCAGTATTAGTAAGTAAACCCCATCCTTACTAGGTTAACCCCAGCCTTATTATGTTACCCCAGTCTTACTAGGTATATCTCGGTCTTACTATAGGTTAACCCCAGCCTTATTAGGCTAACCCCAGATTTATTAGGTTAACCCCAGCCTCCCTATTTTAACCCTAGCCTTATTAGGTTAACCCCAGCCTTACTAGGTTATCCCCAGCCTTACTAGGTTATACCCATGCAGCCTTACTTGGTTATCCCCAGCCTTCCTATTTTAACCCCAGCCTTACTAGGTTAACCCCAGCCTTATTATGTTACCCCAGCCTTGCTAGGTTAACCTCAGCCTTACTAGGTTCACCCCAGCCTTATTATGTTACCCCAGCCTTACTAGGTTAATCTCAACCTTACTAGGTTAACCCCAGCCTTATTATGTTACCCTAGCCTTACTAGGTTAACCCCAGCCTTATTAGGTTAACCACATCCTTACTAGGTTAACACCAACCTTATTAGGTTAACCCCAGCCTTACTAGGTTAACCTCAGCCTTACTAGGTTAACCTCAGCCTTACTAGGTTAACCCCAGGCTTATTAGGTTAACCCCAGCCTTATTAGGTTAACCCCATGCCCCAGAGCCTTTTTGGTCAGATGTTAATCCCCCGGGCCTACAAAAGCTTTTGTTGCTTTTTTGAACAAGATCGCTACTCTTTTAGGATCCTTAGATCCACTACAGTTAAAACTTTTAACTTTACAATTGTATAATCGTACACTTATGTACAGTTAACATTGAATATGGTATGTAATATACCTCCCTCGCCACTCAGATATCACTTAATGATAGGAGTTAAAATTCGTATTCAGGTTAAACATCTGGGCCAAAGAAAACCGGACAACCTTGCTCGTTGTCCTAAAATATCTGCTTGATATTCCTTAAAAAATCAACATGTATGCTGATTTAATTTTACCTCATGTTGAGCTTTATATTTGATAGCCAGAACGCGTTATACTGCATAAAAATAACAATCATTAAGTAGTTATCTATACTCCAAATGTGTACCTATTTTATCGGTCACATACACCCCCTAACTATTATGGTCACGTGAGAAAACTCTAACTCTAATACCGAGTCAACACAGGATATATCAAAAATAAGTAATAACCCTATTTCAGGTAAGCAAATTCGGTAAATATTGACAATTATACTATTTAATCAAGTACATGTAATTAAAATAAAATCTAAACATTCAGATGGATAATGATTGAATTTTTAAGCTTGATTGGAAATGATTGACTATAACTTTAATACAGTTATACAGTACATGTTTTTTTCCGCCCTCTGTATTTCAATGTTCATACTTAAGAATATCCTCTTAAAATAAAAAAAAAATACCTTGGTGGGCGTCTTCAAATGGGAGTTATCTTTCTTCTCATGGAAATTGACTCATATCTATATTTGTTGTCTCGTTGAAGATGTCTTCGGAGGAGAATGGTCACCCACAGTCCAGCCAGGACACGGACAGACATACTGTACCGATAGGATCTACCGGCCTCTCTATCAACCTCACGTACGTCAAAAGTCTCCTAGGTATCTTTGAAGCAGCCATGATAGTAAGTAATAGCTATGCAGGCATGCTTTTCGTCATAATTTCTTTATTTATCTTTTTTTCTTATTAATTTTCTCTAATTTTCAAGATAGGTGAAGAAGATTTACAAAATGTTCATTCAGTATTAATTAATACCCCCTAATTAGATTCAATATTTATAAAAGTCGGATAGTTAGCTATGCCATGTGGATTGTGTTTTTTTTTTTAAATTAATGCTGAACTTTATGTAGGTCACACGTTGAATTTTAATTAAGATAGTACAATTGCAGAATATCAGAAACTGTGTGTGGTTTATGATATCAAATTATACACAATTTTTAACACAACTATTAGGTTATATACAATTTTAACTTTTGATAGCAAAAGATGCAAAAATCACATCTTAAAATATACCCATTCCTAGGTTAGATTTTGAATTTTCTGTACTCATTTTTGGAAATTTTTATGAATATGGGAATATTTTTAAAAAGATTGTGAAATAAAAGATGTAAACATTTTTAAAAAGATGGTGATGTTCTAACTCTTTTTCGCTCAGATCCTTTCGCTCATCTGCTTGATATGTGCGGGAGCTGGGGCTAATTTAGCCTGTGATTACTCCTACGGGTCAAATTATGGATTCTATGAATTTGTGGCAGGCACTGTGTTCTTAACCGACTTCATCAACTACTTAATATTTGCCATTAGCATTGACGAAAAATGGTGTTTAAGATTGGTGCCCTGGCTCGTTTGGGTAAGAATTGAGAAATTACGGAGAACAATATTCTGCTCGCTAAAAGATTTTTTTCTTTTTAAGCAAATATTTTCTAATCAGAGGATGGAAATAAAAGTGAAATAAAGCAAATATAATATACCAAATGGGGTATATCAAACATACTTTTGTGATAAACTTTTATAGGAAATTTCCGAGAGTTAAAGAGAAATGCTTCACCAAATATTTGATGGATTTTTAAGACATCTCATTTAAAATATGGTTTCAGTATTGATCTAAAGCTATCTTTTACAGCATTTTGTCGTGGGTGTGATCTTCACGTTTTTGTTTTTCGTTGCGTCCATTGTGATGGTTTCCCATATCTGTGGACGAGGAGGGTACGCAGCGGCAGCGGTGTGTATTTAGTCTATCCCCCCCCCCCCTTGTATATATTGGCTTAATAATCCTCCATCACGATTTCTTTCAAGATGTTTTGGCAATTTTATGCTGTAAAGATTAAAAATCTTGTTATACGGAACAAGTAATGGAACAAGTAATTTCTATTGTAAATTATTCAAAATAAATAAAGTAGTATGTGAATATATTATAGAGAGAGAGCATCAAGAGGGATTTTTTAAAAAATATATATATGCTTATCCGTTTTCTTATTGTTTTTTCCGTAATTACTAATTACATGTACAATACTTTTTAATAATGTACATATCATATTCTAAAATACAATATATTTGTTTTGACTCACATTTGCAGGTATTTGGTTTTATAGCCACTATAGTGTCGGGGGTTGACACCTTCTTCTGTTTACTTTCTCTCCGTCGGGACCATTCTCCCACCGACAACAAGTTCCTCAACATTCTGGGGGTCCCTCATTCGAGCAGCGCGTCCCCCCAAAGTCCACAGTACGACTCTGAGAGTGTTCCAGAATCTTCCAAGTATTGAGAGGAGGTTGTTTATTCTAGTATATGTTGAGCAAGAAACCAATGAAAAAAAACTTTCTGTCGGTGGTTGTGTAAGAAAGAGCCTATGTTTTGAGGATCGCTGTTGTCAAACTATAGCATAAGATGTGAATGAATTGGTATTTCGGGTATTATTATGATGTGACTACGGTTGATATGTATATCTGTTTGAGTAGATTTTATAACAGGAACATTTTTTGGTTGAAGTAAGATGAAAAAGAAAGCCCCGACTTAATTGGCAGTAATTTGTAAATTTTTATATAAATTGAAGTAATACTCATATATCTTTATCAATCATGTCCATAATTGTGAAATATAAGATTGCCAAAAACCATTTTTTGGATAATTCACAGAGAAATAAACAATTTTTAATCAGGAAAAAAGTATGATATTTTACCCCACTTTCAACTCATACTCAAGAGCCTCTCATCTATCGTCATTATGTCTGTTTTGTTGACATGAATTACATGTATCTCTGACAGGACCAGGAAGTGTAAAATTCTGCTTTTTGTTATAAGGACTTTTTTGTTATGAGGGCTTCAGGATAGAGTCATAGATGCCTTGCCGACGACAATTTTAAAGAAAATCACCCGTTTCTATTTATAGATATACATTTTTATTCAAGTTCAACCTTAGCTGCAGATCTGTAATTCTCTGGATGAAAAAAATCGGATAGACAAACCAGATCTCTGGTTTGTCTATCCGATTTTTTTCATCCAGAGAGCTACATATCTGCATCTAGTTCAACCTATTCAATATCATTTGTGAACGAGTGTTATATTTTCATATGTTCAACTATGTCAATAACAACCATTTTACATGTTCATTACTCTAACTTTCGAGACATGAGACTAAGAAAATCAGTAAAAATAAAACAAGTAGCTATGAATTTTAAAATTTCAGTGGAATCGTTTGGAACTGTCATTTTCCGAGATATTTTCAAAGTGTAACGTGTATATCAAAACTTTCTAAAATTATGTTTATTTCAAAAAATAACAATGAAATGTGGAAAAAGATAAACAAGGAATAAAAGGCATAATTGGAAAATGTTCGAACTCGGAATTACCAGGCATATGTTCCGTTGTAACGTAGAATATTGACCCGGGTTGAAAATTGGTACGTGCTTTTTCTCCGTTGAAAATTGAGACCAAAAGTCGTGAAATTTAACCCCGGGGTCATTTTTCAACATCTTGGTATTTTTTTTTCTTCAAAACTTTGAGAACCTCTACACGTCGTCAAAAATTGACTCTCTTGAAAATTGAGTCTAACTACAGAGTTTTGAACTGTCTTTGAAGTAGAAATTTATTTTACACTATTTACGAGTAAAGATCTGTATCTATTCATTAATGTTTCAGTTTCAAAATTTTCATTTTTCCCCTGAATTTTTTTTTATACAACGTGCTGATGGAGTCGCAGATACGTTAACACTCTTTATGGAGAACCCGCGGTGTATTTTCTAGACTACCATGTGTAACACTAAGATTCTGTTCTGAATAAACTGATATTCTTAGAACTTAATTGCAGGGAATTCTGGGAAACGATTCCATGTCAAACTCAGAGATAAGTTATTTTTAAAATTGATAGTAAAAAACAACTAGCTTTTTAAAACAATCTTTCGGGCCTTTCCAGCAAGCTCGGCACGTGTAACGCAAGCGTTCCTGACAATCGACCCATAAATGAAGGGGAACCTCTAAACTACATGTAGTCTGGAGCTAAACTTCATTGAATACAATGTACGATATAATCTACAGTATACCACATATTAGACAATCAACTCTGTTACTTTAATTGATGGGAAGGGATTCCCATTTTGTACAAAATTTTAACATCCGGGGATGAAAAAAATTTCCGAGTTTGCCGGAAAGGTCAGAGGAGATGCGATTGCTGCAAAACAGTTATTTTAAACTAGGTGCTCATTAGTTCTACCGATTTCTTAAAATTATGGCATTTTCCACCTGATTATTAAAATTACAGTGAAGGACAGATTGCTTAAAGTACAGCGATGTCATTACCGACTTCAAACCCACTCAAGACTCAGTTACCATTCTGAATTGAGAGCCCCCCCCCCCCCCCCCCCCCGTCAGCACTGTCTTCTTATTAGTAATTAATGTGTGAAAAATGAAGATAGCGGATAGCAATCAACCTCATAAATCCAGTAAACAAAACGAATCATGAATAGGCCTGGAAACACCAGAAGTGGGATCAGGTGCCTAGGAGGAGTAAGCATCATCAGTCGGTCGGTCACACCCGCCCTGAGTCATATATGTAATGATCAGGTATATGGAGTACTCCGTAGTCAAATTAAGTATAAAAGCAGTGGCCTAACAATTGGTAAGAGTCATTAGAATTGCGAAAAGCTGGCTTTTAACGGGGTTGTTGAAATCCTTGTAACATCAACTTATTTGTCAGTAGCTTGCCTCGGTTTAAAAACTGTTCGTACTCAGAGCATGTTCTTGAGTATCGAATAAGATATGAGACATAAACACCATATGCAGGTGATTGTGGAATATTGCTACACAAATAAGGGAAGATGACGATGGAAAATCTGAAATCATCCTGTTTGTCATACACTTTAGTTATAAATTGGCCATTATTGTTTATAGTCAGTAAAACATCAAAATATGAAACATATGTGACAGACTCTGTAGTGTCTTTTATTTCGAGTTCACTGGGATATGTCGAATCAACATTTGATAAATCGTCATCAATATATCTGAATGTCGAGTTGAAGTCCAGTGCAAGTGTTTTCTTCTTCTCATGTAGAAGGTTTTGAATAAATTCTGCTTCATAGGAATATAAAAACAGGTCGACAAATAAAGGAGCGCAATAAGTGCCCATGGAAATGTTGGAAGATCTGGCTTCGGGGCCATAAAACTTAGATGAGCTCACTTTTGATCTCAGTCTCACTTTTCCACTATAAATTCCTTTATAAAAGAGAGACTCCAAAGACTGCATATATATTGTCAATGGTGAACTGTAGCATCTTTTAGTATCAACTTCAGAGTACCTGTGTGAAGAAGCAGAATGATTTTTAACAAAGTAATTTTGTAGATGATAATTACAAGATATAAAATTAACGAGTTCCATTTGTATTGAGGAAGCATTTGTCCTTGATGTCAAAAAGACTGCTCTTTAATTTATCGAGAGGAATGACGTTATAAAGCGTAGAAAAGTCATATGTTTTGATGTTTAAAAGTTTTGAGATATTTTAAAATTTTCCAAAAGTTTATTTGGGGTTCTTTAGAATCCACATTTGATTACGCCACATCTTGAATAGAACAATACGTCTGAAGTTTCTCCTTTACAGCAGTAAATATTCTGGTGAGGAGTAAGGATAGGGGCTAAAACTGAACATTTACTTGACCCTGCAAAATAAAATATCTTCCTTGGTAAGGATTTTTTTGAGTTAAACGATTCAGCAAATTAAACCAATGTTCAGGAATATAATTCTTCCGTGTTTTATAATGGCTACAGCTCTAGCTCACCCATTTTTTTAAAAAGTTGGGCTTGTTTTGTTATATAATGATTAAAAAAAAACATTACCATATTTTAAACTACTCATGAATATGTTTAACCCATGTAAAAAAAAAAAATAATAAGCGTATAAGATTGATATTTATTTCATTACTTTAAACGTAATCTCATTCGAAATTGGTAATAAAATGAACATTTTCGCAGTTTTTATCTGTAACACCCACCCACCCCCTTTGAAACAACAAAAGCTTTGGTATGAATTTGTTACATAATAATTCATTATACCTGTAAAAAGGAATTTTCACCGGGGGGGGGGGGGGGGGGGTTAAAAGATTTTCCGTTTTCAATTGATTTCTTTAGTGAAAGGCAAGTTTTATCAAAATTAGAGTTATCTCTCTTTGTTTTCCCAAATATGGTATGTTTTGTGGAAATTCATATAAATATCAATATATAAACGTAAAATATCATTTAAATATATTTAACTTTTGAAAATTAACTTAATTGGAGATAGACAGCACAACAATGCTATCATTCGCAGTTCTTTGTATATTTATTTCTCCTTTAACCGATAATTCATACATGCAAGACTTTGAAGACATTTTTATCATTAATTTTCCCGTTTAATATGAAGTAATGGTGTCGTTTTCTAAATAATGAATGATAAGATTGCCGTGTACTCATTATATGAATTTGCTTTAATTCATGATTTAGTAAAGGACAATGGTATCTTCATTCTTCGTGTTTTCTTTGTTTTAAACTGCAACTACAGCTAAATATTTCATGTACTTTTTAGTTTGAAAAAAAAAAAATATTGAATTTCTTGTAATTTTTTCTCATTGTTTAATCATTCTCATTTTCAAACAGTTTATTAATATTACACAAATTTACATGTAATTGTTGTGTAGAATCATTGATCAATCCTTTATAAATGAATAACACATACATTTGTAGCTATAAAATCAGATTTGCTAGGAGTCAGTAGTTTAAGTGAAGATGTTTACAGATTGTGTTACATCACACTTCATTTATATAATGGCAGGAAACTAAGGCGACAAATGGCCCCCCTTGTATCAGCTCACTGGTTTTATCTTAATAAACTCCTCGACTTTATTTCTATTTTAAATTGGATTTCTGATTAAATGACATGGAGACTGTTTTTGAGCGCCTGGGGACGTGATTTGTCGCACTTTTCTGTACAACATCGACACCTTCATTATCTGTTATCGCCTTCTATCTACAGGTAGATACTTGGTAAGGTGAGGGTGGACCACGCCCTCCTAACCCGGCTCAACAGCGCGGGAACCGGTATTGTCATGTTACATACACAAAATGTCAAGTGTCGTTCGCGCATTTTCACGACAAAAGTATCATTTTCCACAAAATCTTACATGGTGTATTACTGTTAAACAGGTTCTAACTTTAACTGTAATGTGTCTTTCTGTATAACTCTGGCTTTCATAAGAAATATTCTTTTATTTAAGAAAATATAGTTTCTCCTTTGTTTTACTAATATGTATCACATTTGTGCGCTAATACATAAATGTCGTACATGTACATGTAAGTCTCCTGTCCCAATAATTAGAACTCTGCGTAAATTTCATTAATCAATACAAATACAAAGCAACATAAGGTGCATTTTTGAGAATTTAATTTTGCTGTTAAAATGTGCTATTTTGATAAATTTTTATCTAATTTAAACTTTTTGATCAATTTGACGTAAATAAAGTATTAAATTGTTTCAGAAGAAAGATTTCTGTACGATCGAATATATAGTATTATATAAGAAATCAGTATTGTACAGGGCGGCAATAATGTAGTTCCGCTTCAATCAAAGCTTATAAATAATTCTTCCATCGCTAAAATGAACAACAGAAGTTTTTAAACGTTCTTTTTTCCTGTCTTTGAAATAGTTTATTATAATTTTGCAGTAAAAATTTCGGACATCAAAGTTGCAGCTCATATTGCTTTAATAATCAGAAGTCATTTTTAAATAAATAATCTCATGAAGAACAGTATGATTTTGATTTATCGTAACAGCTAAGATGTAAAAATATTTATAAACGTATTGATATTTTTGATAAAACATGAAAGGTATTTGGAATTCTACAATAAATAAAACCCATGGCATAAGCCATATTGCACATCTTAGTTTATTGGATGGATGTAAAAAGAAATTTTTAATATGGCATGTAGTAAAATTAAGAGTAGAAATGAGACATTTCTTTCTCTCTTATTAACTTTTAATATTTTTTGGTTGTGTACAACTTAACAAGCTTACGAACGTACTTTTATATTTTAAATGGAGAATTATTTCAATGATTTTACATTTCTAAAAAATGTAAAATGTGTAGCAGATTAGTTTCAGAGTATTCTCATTGTTCCTTTTCCAACATCAGTGTACTGGTACATAACTCTTTGATAAGAACTAGTCAGTAAATTTGTCACTGGAAATATTACAGCTTAGGTTTATATATCAATAAACATAGATTTAAAAAATGATGAACACTCAGTTCATTATAACTTGATTTGATAATGCTAACCCATTGTAAAAATTTTCCGGTGGCTGACTTTTCTCACTGCCGATTCCCTAGTCCCGCCCACGAGGCAGGTTAAATCGAAGCGCAACCAATGGAAATTAACACCTCGAAAAACAGCGGAGTAAAAAGTGCGCATTCTCCAAAATATTTTAATCAGTTTGTAGTGTGCTTTTGTCGGAATTTTATGTCAGAGGAATTTTAATTTAATTAAAAGTGAACGACTCAACAAGAAAAATGGATTTAACATGCCGCACCGAGAGAAAATTTGACTCGCCTGTGGCAAAGCTATCGCAAAAAGCCAATGCATTTTCAATAGACTCTTTGCTGGCACAGAAAGTTCCTAAACAAATGCAAGTTTCGGCATTCGATGGACTTAATTCAGTATCAGCGGTAACGGGAACTTCTAACCCCAAACATGCTGATTTACCACCAGGTAATATAGAAACTTTGTGTAGAATATAAAGTATTTCAATAAATTGTTCAAAGAATATTTTATAAGCAAGAATTATTAAATATATCAAAAGTGTTAAATGATTTGTTAAAAATTCAACATGGAACTTAAAGAAATTAAGTTGTAACTGGGGGAAAAATAGTTTCATTCATTTTCCATATAGGCGATATAAATGACGACAATTTACCCTGCGAGTCCTTTGAAGCGAAACACCCCAGCCCGTCTGTTTCCCCCCGATCTTCGGACAGTGGTTCTCCGGTCATTCCTATTGACCACTACTCCGAAGAGTGTCCAGAATTAGCGGACGTCAGGTGCCGATTGGAATCTAGGGATCTCTGGAAAAAGTTCCACGAACTGGGCACGGAGATGATAATTACCAAGTCTGGGAGGTTTGTAGTATACTTTTAATTTTTCCCAAATATTTTGCGCAAAAAGGAATTAAATAGTGCTCAGAAGGAAGAAATGTTTCTTTTTTTTTTTCAAAGAAATGATGCTAAAATAGTTATTTCATTTAAACTTTAAAAAAAAAACTCATGGCATTTCAGCAACATAAATTTTGAAGCTGAAAAGCGATGCATGAAAATAATTTTTTAAAAATTGAGTTTATTAGTGAAGATAATAAACGGTATTGTAAAAGTCAATTATCTTCCAACAAGGCTGTAAAGCTGAGAGAAAAAAATAAACGATTGTTTCAAGTTTGTTAAATAGTAATTAAACATTTTTATGACCACAAAAACAAATTCTTAAACCGTTAAGATACATATGTAATTGATTTTTAAACGAAGCATAAAAATGTTATTGACACTTTTTATGGAATGTTGATTTGAGGCCCCTGGCCAAAAAAGACTTGTTTGTGTAAGGTGACATTGACAACGAATGCATAAGATGCTGAGATGATATCTGTAAAATTCTCGGCAGTGGTGTCAAATTTTACAACACAATTCATGTATTATCTTTTATGACTTCAAATTTATTTTGATAAAGTACAGCATGGGTTATACCAAACGAAAGAACCAATCTCATTCGGTGTTAGTCAGAGACGAACTCAAGATACGTTTCTCTTATCATGTATATTTTGCCAAAATTACTCGGACTTGAAAAAAATGTTTGTTCCACGCAGCGAAATAGATATCATTTAATACGATTGTTATTTGTAAGAACAATGAAAAGATATTAAACGTGATAATTAACACGTCAACAGATCCAAGTGTTAACTTGGTCTTATCATTCTTAGACAAAGGCCGCATTCATTAAGACTATTAAGCCGGTCATTTGTTGATAGGCAGAATAAAAACAGATATCATCAGCTATTCAACTACTAAGAAGCATTTTGATCGATTGCAGGATTCCAAAAAGCAGGAATTGGTCGTCTTTGTTGTCGGGGCAGGTAGCGCCTGTACCTTGTCAACGCCAGGGTCCCGTCTCAGAAGGTTACAAAATAAACTGCTCATTGCACAACAAGAACCTGTTTTGTTTTCGCTTTCAACATGAAAAGCTCTAAGTTTGTTTCAAATTTGCGGTGCTCAGTGGAAGGTTAGAGATGTCAACACAGGAATAAAGATACAATCTAAGCTATAATCATTACAGAAAACGCGATACCGCTCATCTCATAACAAAACATTTACTTGCACTGCCAACCCGAATTGAGTTTGTCTACCTAGCATGTAATGACTTGGTCTATTTTAGCCCAGAACATTATACTGAGGTTAAATCTCCGCACCCCCTTTCCAAAGATGTGGTGTCGTGCACAAAACTGTCATTTACAAATTAGATCGAACTAAAACGAGTTCCATCACGCAAGGCTAACACCCGATCTCCCCTGACCTCCCATCACTCTCGGAGGAGGATAGTAGTTAGTGTGACCGCCGAACGGATAGAGTTTTGGTTTATGGGTAGAGGCGGGACGTGTGAGCATTTGTCTTATGTTTTTGTAAAGAGCTGAAGTTTTAAGTAGCGAAACGGGTGATATAAGACACGGATGCCAAGATGAAATTTACATCTCTAATTAGGGGAACAGAATTGTGTGTAGCAAGATAATGGGAGTATATGCTGTCCTGGTTTGCTTACTATAATTATAAAGTTTGTCTATTTCTTTCAGACGTATGTTCCCGACATTACGCGTGTCCTTCAACGGGCTAGAGAGTGACCAGGAATATATTGTTGCCATGGATATTGTTCCAGTTGATAACAAGCGATACAGATATGCCTATCACCGATCAACCTGGCTGGTGGCGGGAAAAGCAGACCCTCCCGTTCCCTCCAACATCTATGTTCATCCAGATTCCGTTTTTACTGGCGCACAGCTTCAAAAGCAGACGATTTCGTTCGAAAAACTGAAGCTGACCAATAATGTTCTGGACAAAGCTGGACATGTACGTTGTATTTTATAAATTGGACATGATTTTTATTATTATTATTTTTTTGACTTTTAATGTGCATATTGTTTTAATATTTAAATTGTAGATCATTTTAAATTCCATGCACAAATACCAGCCTCGAATTCACATCATCCGAAAAACAGCCACGACACCCAATCCCCTAACATCACTGAAATCAACGGAACACAAAACGTTCGTCTTCTCAGAAACTGGTTTCATTGCTGTCACGGCCTACCAAAACCAACTGGTATGAATTAACGAATCGAAAAAGTATTTAGAATTTTAAATTCAAATGCTAATTCATAACATTTTTTTCATCATTTATTCTGATCGCTCTTTTTTTTTTTTAGATTACAAAGTTGAAAATAGACAGCAACCCTTTTGCAAAAGGCTTTCGAGATTCGAGTCGTTTGTCAGACATAGAAAGGTAAAAATATTTCTTTTTGAATTCTTTTACAGCATTCATACGTGTTTCAAAAAATATTGTTTAACATATCATATTATGGTAAAAATACAAAAAAAATATTTTGTTTTCTAGGGAAACAATGGAAAGCCTGCTAAATGGACAATCACACTCAAATATAACAGCAATGAACGAGGAACTTCACAAACAAAGACAGACAATATTTAGAGGTTTGGGAGGTAGGTCATTTCAGACATATTTTTCTACAAATATGAATAACATATGAACATATATAAGTATGATTCGCAGGAATTTGATGATTAACATTACATAGTCTTTTATTAAAATAACGATTCCATTTTTTTAAATTATCGTTTTCAGATTCCGAGCTTGCCCTGTCGCTGTTGCATGGAGCCAATTTGGTGGCTGGGTCCACTACAGCAAGTCAGTCTTTAGGAAACATGGCCAGCAGGAGATTATCCCTTCCTCTATCCCCTCTCTATTACGGCGCAGCTTTACCCAATCAGGAATTTTTACGTCATCAATTGTTCAACCAATCAACATCGTCATCCATTCTATTATCGACACACAGATATCACCCATATCTGAAATAGAAATACATTTAGAAGAAAAAAAAAATTATGTACGAATAAAATGCAATGTATAAAGTGATTAACGTGAAGGTAAAATGGAGGCTTTTATAAGCTGTTGGTGCTGTACATGTTCACATTATGTAAATACAAAAATCAATTGTTGAATATTCTAGTCATATGATTTTATGGTCATAAAAATAAATTACATTTAAAATATCTTTCAGCTCACTTGTTTACTTGAATGGCTTTGAGTTGCATTTCACATGCATGATGTTACTCTGAGAATTATCCGAATGAGCATGTCTCCGTAATAGTGTATGTGCGTGGGTGTATTTCCATCTATGGTCTATGATTGAAGAATGTTTTTCCTTGCATTTAAAATGATTAACTCTTTACTATCTTTACAGAAAAAAGAGTAAACTCACTCAGCGAAATATCACCCTTTATTACATTCGTTGAATAAAATTGATATTTTTACTCGGTGAAAATTACACAATGTGAAAAATAACAGTTGAAGTAAGTGTATCAAATGTACAGTGTCACATGGCAGCAAAGTTCCAAAAAACCAAAGGAAATGTAATAAACAGAAAATTCGATGTATTGTCGTTGGATATATGAATTTCACTCATGAGACACTTTTTTTTCTTTTACATCTGCTTTGCTCTCGTGAAAATATAAATCCGTCCGCACCTCGTGAAATTCATATCTAACTACAAAAGATGTTATTATTGAACATTTGAAAGTTTATTAGATTATGAATCAAAGATATTTATAAGTAAATATAATGATATTAAGCAATTGATTAAAGTTTCTTCAGACTATTACAGCTCTGGGATTTAAACCAAATCTATTACAAAATTAAAGGCAAATTTAACGAAAAATCCTGTATACAGCGGTGAAAGATTTTCTTTCAAACAAAAACAAGTGTCTGTGTTCAAATTGTCGCATTTATAGTTTAATTACAAGAAATTATTTCCTCGACAAATCTCGTATGTCAATCATCTTCTCATGAGTACATTAAATATTCTTTCCCACAAAAGCATGTTTTCAGCTTTTTGTTACGTCAGCTGGTACCGGATGATTGTAATCGTTTGCACATATAAGTAACAAGAATACGCTCAAAAATATCGAGCTCTATAGCTCTGGTGAAGAACATACTTGATTAGATAATTGAAATGTGTGATGCACCCTAAACTGAAAGCTGCTGAACCCAAGAATAGAATATTAATAAAAAATATGATTGATCTTGAGTTATCATGAAGTTTCCGCTAAGGTCTAGATCTAGTAAATGAAAAGTGCCCAAAGAGCCCTCAAATTTGAGAAACGAATTCCTTTAATCCATAACAATTATAACTTAATAAATTAAGGTGTGTCGGGACATAATTTTTACGTAAAGTCAACAACAACAAAAAATTAAACTGCCCTTTTCAATGACAAATGAAGTTTTTCTCCATCTCGGACAAAGGAAATGTATCAATAATGCCTACAGTCTCTCAGAAAACGGTTTTACATATCTTCTTGACCTCTTCTTTAAAATGATATTAAGGACAGGTGACAAAAACTTTTGTCAAAAAATTTGAAAATAACAACTTGAGTCATGTTTATATGAGTAAAATGAACACTCGTTTTACCGCGTAGTTTTTGATTTTTCATTCAAAGTTTCACAATAATGGGATTTGAAGTGAAAAAAATTGTATAGATTCATAAGGATGGTTGCAGAAAGTAGAAATTTGGACATCATAGAAGGTTTACAATTTCTTAATATTTTAGAATTTTATTATTTGCATCATTTGCAACAAAAATAGGCCCAAAAATATATACATTGTACCAATCCAGGCATCCCTTTTTTTGTTTGTATCATCTGTCCTTAAATTGAATACAGATATCGGGAGTTACTTTTAACATGTATTCAAACTGAATTCCATGAAAATGCGTCATTTTCTACATAATTCTGTTATAGCCATAAAGTACGGGAAAAAAGTAATGGATATAAATAATCATGGATCTAGCACCAAAAAGACAGTCTAAACTCATTTACTAAATCTTGACCTTAAGTTTATATCCCGAAAGAGGTACATATTTTACAAAGCTGGTTTACCGAGAACTTAAAAGGATACACAGATAAATGCTTGAAACTTAATTGTTAAAAAAAAAATTTATATTTGTATTTTATTATAGGCTTAAATAATTTTTTCAGAGCACACGAATTGAAATCAATATACAGCACTTATACATATACGTATTTACCAACGATACGAAAAATAAAACTGTTTAATTTTTGTGAAGCCCTGTCCCGTCTTCATGACAAAAGGAAGGGTTTGAATGTCAATGATGAGCAAAGTAAATGGGGAGAATCTAGCACTATACTTCTTAACCTTATATACTTACAATTCTAAAATTTAAATGTCGAAAAACCATTTTATATGAAATGATACGAAATTATTTCATATCAATTGGTTTAAACATTCAAATTAAAAATGTAAAATTGTGAATATATACTGTATCTTATAGTAGTTAAGTAGTGGTGATAGATTTTTTTTACTTTGCTTATTAATGTATGTCCTACAGCCCGAAGAAGGATAAGGCGACAATTTGACAATTTTTAATTGTAGGTGTCGTTGGTCACTATGGATGCTCTATTTTCTATGCGTAAGTGATAAATGGACATAAAGATTAAAGACACAGAAGACAGACAAAAAATTGATGCATGGATTGATATACATGTATATTTTTGACTGAATTTGAATAGAAATGACATAAATTATAAATCCCTTTAGTATAAAGAAATCGTCAATTTTCTTTGGTGCTGAAATATGCAACTTTGTGCTGTTTTCTATGTAAATCTATACAAAATGTCGTACAATTTCTAACATTTTTAGAAAATTTCCACACTTACCCTGGCATACATTATTCAAGTTAACTACATACATAATAAAATTAATTTATGATATACATTTCTGATTTCTAAAAATTGTTTGTGTTTTTATCCTTAATTCAACATTTATGAAATAAAATATTAAAACAAAATAACGGAATGTTCAGCTAATATTAACAGGTGGTTTTTTTTTAAGAATTAAACAACATGTGAGGAATCATCAAGAAAACCAACTCTTTTTTCCAAACCCATTCAGTGTTCCTCGCATGCTATCCACGTGTATCATCATTAACGAAACCATCGACACCTGTTTCCTACCTGCCAGGTAATTCTAGAGAGGTACGAAATCCCAAAGTTTTAATCAAACCGTAATGACAGATGCACATGATGATATCTATTTTCGTAGCGTACAAGACCGTGATGCAGAATGGAAGGGACACAATAGAAGTCCATGACTCGAGTCAGCTGTTTTCTCGGAGCTAAGACAATGCTCCTCTTGTCTTGACTGTGATAGGAGATTATAATCAATTAAACGATTGGCACTTTATAAAACGCATCGATTTGAATCCGATTAAACAATTTTCTGTGGATAAAGTTTTTAAGTGACTAAGTTTTAAAATATTTTGTATGGGTAAGTAACAACTTAGGCGATGCGTCATCCGTCCATTCATGTCTTTTAATAGTTTAATATAGGAGAGTAACCAACTTGGTTGTGCATTTACTACCTTTAAATTAAAGATGGTTGATTATTATTGATAATTTCACATGCATTCCCACATATTTAGATTTTCGTGATTGTTGATAAACAATAAGATAACATTCTTTCATCATGCGACTTTTTAACATACCGATCATACACGAGTCCTTTAAATTAAACAGGAAATGCTGTCATAATAATTTCTTTTCAAATCAAGGTTAAGAAACATATCTGCTCACAAAAATTTCATTACAAATCGGGGAAAAAAAATCTGAAAGTGTACATTGTTCTATTTTTATATTCATCTTTTCCAAAAAAAGTAAAATTTCGAAAAGAAATTTCCTAAAAATGAGTTCACGATGTGACGATTTTATTTTACACCTTTATTCATTGCATAAAATTAAACATTTTTTTCCTAATATATATCATGTTTATTTCTATAAAAGTAATAATGAAAACTATAAGTATGGTGCCCTACACCATACATTATTACACATCAATATGGCCAAATACTAGTAGTATCGTTCTTAATTAAAAATTGCTTGGTAAAAATGTGGCATTTTGTACACATCATAAAAAAAGATAAACAATTAAGTGGTATGCTGCTAATAAAGAAGGGATATGATTTGCTCATTGTTAAATGGGAACACACAGTTTCTGTTTCAGCTCTCTATAGTGTCGTACTGCCGATAAATGTTTTGGCACTGACAGCCAGACATGGAATTTCTCTCGTGCTGCAGATACGTCTCGTCCTCTGAGAGATGTCTGCGAGATTTGGGGAACATCCGCAACACTAGAGGTCAGGAACTTTCATTAATATAGGCGCCAAAACTCTCTTATTTTCATTCAGTTTTATGCTCTTCTATTGCCCACAAAATGCCAATGTTGACGTAACATCTTTTCTCTTTATTAATAATATGTAATATTGTTGATAACCAGAAAACATTGCAATAAATATTCGTTAACAGCATCCTGCATGGGTTTAGTGTGTTATGATAAAAACCCACTTATCTACAGGATATACTTGTTATGTTGCAAGATATTGAACGCCTTTGCAGTTCAATGATTTCTGCTATTATTATGTATAAAGTTTTTTTTACTGCGTATTCCCTTAAAATGATTATCATAGTATCAGATCACCCTGAGTGACTCAGGTGACATATTGCAATCTCTTTTTCGTCCGTCCTCGCGCGTCGTGCAATGAGTAAACTTTTCAACATTTCAGTTTCTTCTCTAGAACGGCTGAACCAATTTTCATTAATTTCAGTTATATAGCATCCATGCGTCAAGGTGAACAAGAATTTTGAATTTAATTCAATCTTCAAAAAATCTTATTCACTCAATGACATCTAGCAGGCAAACTGTTGGTATGATTATAATAAACCCTTTACCAAAATTGTGAAAATTGCTACAGAAGATTCAATGAATCAATACGTTGACAAAATAATCGTTTGAGGGAATGCAAATACGTGGTAAAGAGTGACCCACGAACAATTCACGATGTGCCGATCAAGTT